CTGCCCCCCCCTGCCAAGAAAGACGACAAGATCCAGTCTAACTCTTTACGTTTCTGGAAACGCTGTTCCGTTTGGGGGTTCTTTCTTTATATGTAATGACCCTATCTGATCTCCCTGGATTATATGGCTACTGATGATTAATTAGAACTGATGGAGGGAAGTTCTATATTCTTTTAAACTCTGAAGCACAGTGGTAACTATCTGTACCAGCTGCTTTAAAATTAACTTACTCTGACTCGTGCCCAGCCCGACTTGACCCTTTTAATCATATAATTTCATAGTTTTCCCAGGATTGTATTGGGGGGGGGTACAGCATTCAAGCTTTACCTCGGGAACAAATGTCCTTCGGACGAATCCTGTTAACACTACGTTGAAATAGGAAGTGTCGGAGATGCGCATTTCGACGGCCATCTATTGTAACAGGTCGATAAGCAGATGCGGAATAACCGAAGAACGGTCATATTAGATTGCATGTCGTATTAACACTGCGTATGGAAAAGGCGCTGTAACCCAGTGACAAAAAACGTCTCTATCAGAGTCAGATGTCATTCAGTTTTGCCATTTCTTTCTTCATGTTCTCTTAGAAGTTCCTACTCGATTTATTTAACTTTCACTGCCCCATCGTCTTGCAGCTTAGAAGTTTACAGCCACGTGTTTGATTATAAGCTGCTTTGTGGAATAATTTCTGGTGTTTCATTATTCTTTGCAGATCTTCACGACATCAGTATTTTATTTCAGAAGTTAGTTTATTACACTGTCATGTGTTTTTGAGAAAGGCGAACTTGTCATGTGTATTTCTCGTCTGTTCGGTGCGAGTTTTTGTTGAAAAGTAGAAATTATGAAGCTCCATATTATGTAGTTTTATCCATTCTCATAATTACCTATCTCGGATCCAGAAGTTATTTTGATTACTTTGTTTTCATAAAACCTTGATCTGTTCTCTCCTCCCTCTCTCATGTAATTTGTTAGTCTGTGTGGAGTGTTTGGTGGCGCGCGCATCGTGGTTTCGAGACTGTTTAAGCACACTTTTGTCTTTCTTTCCAGGAAATGAGTTTTGAAGTGGTATGAGGGGCGTCATCTCCGTAATATGATATAGAAGTGGGCATGGTGTTTAAACAGATAATGTGCAGACACATCCACTGTCAGATATTTGAAAGTGATAGTTGAGTTGTGAGGAAAAACGTTTAGTACAATTGAAGCAGCGGAAATTTTTTTAGGAAATGTTAAAATGACTATATTAAAAACCAAGATATACGCAAGGAACTGTCTACTTTTTTCAAGTTGACAAATACATGATTACTAAGAAGTTCATCAAATATTATTTAAGAATTTAGTCCGTACCGCAAAGAAAACAACGCTTAACCATGACTAAGATATATGTATTAATGTTGTTTAAGGAAGTAATCCGTTTACACAGAAATTTGTATAAGACTCATAAATAAAGAAAAACTTACTGTTATTGGTGGTACATGTGGTTCAAACTAGGCCCTGCTATATATAGCGTTAGGTGCAAAATAGTAAGACGTTGAAAAGTTATATTTTAAAATATACCTTCTGCACTAAGGTATATTTTAAAATATAACTTTTCAACGTCTACTATTTTGCACCTAACGCTATATATAGCAGGGCCTAGTTTGAACCACATGTACCACCAATAAGAGTAAGTTTTTCTTTATTTATGAGTCTTATACAAATTTCTGTGTAAACCCCACCCAGCCTCCTCTACAATGGGTACCGGGGTCCTTTCCCGGGGGTAAAGCCGGCCGGGGCGTGATGCTGACCACACACCCCCATCTAGTGCCGGGGTCAAGGAAGAGAGGAGCTATACCTCCACTCACCCCAAACGCCTACATGGCGTATAGTGGGACAAACGTTTACTTTTACCTTAGTGCAGAAAGCGACATTTTAGCGATGGATATCTGCCAGTTTCAGATCGCACTAGTGAATTCGCGTCTTTGCCATGCACCTGGCAATGTGTCGGTTTACCTACCCGGAAAACATACGCCATACATCGGCCCATCGTGTTTCTGTGTGAATGCATGTGGATGATTATGGCTGCAGTGGATATTACTAGCGAGTGAAGCCTACATACACTAACTATTATCAGCCTAGTTGGTTCAGAGCATATTAGCTGAGAGTTGTAATGGATGAACGTAGAATGGTTCGCACATCGAATCCCGAGGTTACTAACCAGATTAATCCCACCCTGGTGGTCTAATAGTTAATCTAAAAGTGCAGTAGAAATGTCGACATCAAAAACTGTTTGGCCACAGGCAGTGTTAATTACCGTCGACTAAAGTTTACTTGGGGGCGGATCACTGTTTATCGAGGCGCTTAGACGAATTGATTTCGATTGGTATGGAACTGTAAATTATGTGTCGTCGTGTGTGTGTTTTATGAATGACTATTTAAAAATTTAAAGCATGAATTTTTGTTAGAAACTCTGTTTCACTACATTGTCTCTTTCTTGAGTAAATATTTATGTGCCTAATCGAATCAGTTTTGATCATTATGGGATAAAAATTGTATCACATGCGCCTTGTTCGGTTCTGAACATTCGATTAATTACTTAACTCTTACACAAGAATTTATACAGGGAAAGGTAGGATGTGACGTACCAGTGAACATTATTTGCAGTATCTAGCTTCGAGCTATGGTATTCATTTATTTTTCAGTTTCTGATTTTGTTGCTGAACAAGGGCAGAGAAGACTGGCTAAAATCAAGGGCGTGCTAGCAATCGTGTTAAATATTTGATAGTCTGTATTAGGTTTTGATTTCTTTAGTCATAGAATTTATTCTCTCACGCACATGAAATTATATATATATATATTTTTAAATATAATTTAAGCAAAATCTAAACTTCTACAGCAGCGCAGAGGTTTTGTACAAACTTCCTTGGGATATGACTGAATAAGAACAATTTTTGAAATCCAACCGATATGCTCATTCGTATCATAAATTTTCGTATGAAACCTACATCTAATGCAAATTGGCACGTGTGTATTTATACGTATGCATACGCACACATACATACATATATTGTAGGCTGATTATAATATTCAGTTTAAAAAACTATGGGCGAAATACTCGTAATATTTGAGATTATAATAACATTCTCAGGCTAATATAATGCGTTATTTAAGCGCGTGGAGTCGGGGGTTTAACGTTAAGTATTTCCTGAACATTTCTTACAGACACCGTCTTTAAAAATTCTGAATTAATATCCTTGAGTAAAAGAATTCAGGGATAAATCCATCTTTCCTACTTTGTATAAGAATATATTAGTGAAACCGTATTTCATTTTCTGTTAGGGAATGAAACATTTTATACATGAATCATTCTGGCGGTTCGAGCTACACGGATTGAAACAAATGTTATAAAGGTTACGAAATGCTTCAAGCATTGCTTAAGACCGAGAGAAATGCATAGAAGTGATTTATATGGGTAGATATGTGTAGGTGGCCCTATTAATAAATATACAAGTGGTTAAATGTATTTTTGCTTTTAATGTTCATTTTCTGATTATTTTCCCACCATTTTTATCTGAATTCTTTGAATGACCGCCTTCCTGAGGATACAATGGCGTAATGGCGTGGGTGTATCATATTCCGATATACCGTTAAAGAACCGAAGAACAGGCTAAATCAGTTGTAATAAGCGGTAATGGACAGTGGTGTTTACTTGGGCGTCGTGTTTCAACCCTACTGTAGGCCATCTTCAGGCATTTATATAAACTGACGCAAAATCACAAATATATAAATTTTGAAACTGAAATTGTAACACTTTTAGTAAGTAATTACAGGACCACAATTTTATTGTGGTAGATATGGATATGTGATGGGAAATTTCATTCGCTCTAATAGCACAGCTGTCAGAACTGACAAATGACTTCTTTCCTTCTTCGTGATTAAAACAAACTATTCCTTTGGATCAAACTGTGTCACGTCGTGTCAATATGAAAAGTTATTAATTTCACCGCCGTTATTATCGAATGTAGCAGCCATCTTGAAAAATGAAAAATTATTAATTTCACCGCCGTTAATGTCGAATGTAGCAGCCATCTTGAAAACGCAAAACAAAGGTGACATACGAAGAAACACTTCCATTTTTCACTTGTGGAGTAACTTCTTTAATGTGTAAGGTTAGACACTTCCATTTTTCACTTGTGGAGTAATTTCTTTAATGTGTAAGATTATCATATTACTTGTGCAAAGATGAAATGGTTGGGAACAGTTGTGACATAACAGCTCGAAGGGAAAGTATGTGTTCATTTGCGATCAATAAGGCGTTTGTAGACAAAGTGCGCAGGTAATTATTTGTACCTGAGAATGAGATCCATGAGATATTACGTACATGAGGAGTAACGTGCACTTCAAAGACCGTTAAGGAAACTTTGTAGGATAGCTGAAGGATCGTTCTTAGGCAGTCAGGTTGAGAGGTGGGTCGAATTGGCTCACTGTCATGTTCAGTGATGAGTTTGGTTGAGTATTGTTGGTCTTATGCTACCGGAATCTTTTTTAGAACAGCAAGGCTAGAGCATAAAACCATTCTTTACAAGAG